CGGGGTCCACCCAGAGGGCCATCTCGCGCCGCCTTGGTCGCGCCACTCGAGACGGTTTTCTCCTCAGACTATGCTGCCCTGAATGGCGAACACCAAATAATGAATGACCTTTTAAACGCGCGCGCGTTTTCTGGGCATCGTGTCTGAAAAGACGCAAGTAGGGAGGACTGCACAATGGGGAACCGTAAGAAGGCGCGGAGTCAAAAGGATTTCCCAAGTGCCGGAAAACACTTACACGGTTCGAAGAAATTAAGTTATTCACAGCCAAGAGTTCTAAACATCATCCTTCACGAAACCAAACTGACTATATACAACTCTTATAAATGAACAACACCTGGGAACACCTACCACAACCTGCGCATATCTGCAGTTTATCTTCCTTTTACGCCTACAGATGGACAATAACACGGTAAAAACGAGTTCCATCCCGAGTTTTCAAGCCCCGCGGTGAGCTGCGACTGCTTTGATGTCCCCTGTGCCTTTTCCTCCGCTCCCCTTTGCTCTCGGGCGGTCAGACTGTACAGCACTTCGTTTCGGGCTAACGAAGGCCGATTATGCGGGTCGTAGCGGGACAATCGATGAAGCCAAGAGGCCAACGACGTCTGTCCAACGCGATTGGTCCGAGGGGTACCTAACCTCTCTCATGGGCGGTGGACAACTGAGTCACGCGTACAATTCGTACAAAAATAATTTTCAAAGAAATAATTTAATTGTTCACCAAAAGCAAAAGTTTTTGAGGCAAATTAGTTCAGTTTTTTTAAAGTTTAAGTATGAAATTTTTAACCAACGCCGCCTTATACTTGACTTATTCAACAATTATTTTCAACCGTATGAACCGGAGCCAAGCCATCAAGGAAAATAAATTCCGAACGCAATTTCCGCGACGGCCAGACGACACAGCACGCGTGTTCCAGTGACACCTTTTCCTCGTTTGGCACACGAGCTGCGGCAGGCGTCGAACACGTTTTGTTGAAGATCTCCATCCCCTTTAGAGCCTCCACAGAGACGCGCGGTCGTAATTATAGACCAAAGCGCGCACACATACAACATGTAAGACGAAGCAGCATGTAATATAAAGAGAAGATAGTCCGCGATAGCTGGTTTAGTAAGTGCACTTTTTTTCTTGTTCTTCCATCTGACCTTCTTTTTCCGCCCTCTATGCTACGCGAGAGGGAGGGGTTGTAACGCAAGTAGTTCGAGCTTATGTGTGCGCGCGCGCGTGTGTGTGTGTGTGTGTGTGTGTGTCGCGCGCAGTGCGGGCACGTGCTCTTGGATGGACATCAGGTAAGTACCGCTATGCCGAGCAGAGGATGCAGATGGGCCGACTTCCGGCGGCGGGGGGGTCCTTGATGACGGCGATGACGACGAGGAGGAGGACACGTGTCAGACGCGTGTCTTGAGGGAGGCGCGGGCGGGGCCGCGGGGAGACAAGAGGAGGAGGAGGAGGAGGAGGAGGAGGAGGAGAAGAAGGGAGGGGGTTGAAATAAAAACTGCTCCCCGGGCGTTTGTACACGCGCACAGACGGCATCGCGCCCCCGTGCCCGCCGCTATGACGAGCGTGCTCGCGTGTCCCGACGAGTGTGCGTATGAGAGAGAGAGAGAGAGAGAGAGAGAGAGAGAGAGAGAGAGAGAGAACTTTTGGCGCTGCGAATCGTTTGGGGGATTGCCCTCATCACTGTGAAAAATATCTTTGGAAATTTACGATATATATTGTAGTTTGATAGTTGACTAGTACAGTACAATATGAGATTATCACGAATGGTCTACATCTTTTTCAAATTAAAATAATATAAATAACCGATTTTTGACTACAAAGAAGTGTTGGGATTCCACAGCTAGCTGCCCCCGTGTAGAGCAAAGGATCGGAAAATACCCTGGTAATAAAAAAAAATTATAAGGGGACGGCTCGATTTACACGAGCTTACGAATGAGTATCCACCGCGAATCCAGTCAATAAGCATACACAGACACACATACGCAACACGTGCGCCACGAGTAAGAGGGAAGACCCCCTCCCCCCCCCCCTCCCCCGGTTTCCGGTGCCATCCGGGGGGTGCGAAACCCGTCCCCGGAGGAAGCGCGTTCCAAGCCGTGCTGCACCGCACCTCCCCACCCCTCGCGAGACATCTGCACACGCCGTGCATCACGCCTCCCTCCTTCCGCGGCCTCCCGCGCTTCGCCCCCGGATGTGTCATTTCCATATCAACCGGAAGTGACGTGTCCGGCAAAGACGGACAATTATTATTTCATCAACTTGTTCACACTGAAAATGGTATCCTTGAAACAAGGCCAAATGCCTTGAAAAGGTCGTTTTTATTTACACTGTGAAAAAAGTTGGTTTACAGGAAAATTTTCCTTGACGTACGCCAGTTGTAAAACTATAATTTGTCATCGTAAAAATACATGCAGTACGTATCGACTTCAAATCCGTTGGCGAGTAAAAAATGTTCTCTCGTAAATTTACAACTTAAATTATAATTCGAGTTTACAGTGTATCTTTCTTTTAAAAAAATACAAGGAAATTTTCCTTTGCATAATGCAAATTTCGTTAAAATAAAGGAAAATGTTTGTTGGGATCAACGAAATCTCCTTAAAAACAATGAAAATGCCTAACACTAAAGGAGAAAAATTTCATTGTATTTTCCAATGAGTTTTGCTTCGTTTAAGGATCCAATAAGGGTGTTATTTATTATTACTGTTCGGCCGTGCGCGACCAACGAGATGTGTTCTCGCGGAAAACGAAAATTACACGAGTCTATGTTCCCGTCGTGACTCCGTCCCGTCGTATATGGCGCACCACGACAAGCTTTGCGCTCAAACGTCGAGCAGGGTGCTCCCTTTGGCGATCATAAACAGTCACAAACATGAAGATAGCTAATGGCTTACTGCCAATGCCACGCGCTTGTGCTACTTGCTGTAAGTACCGAGTGTAAACGGTACACCCAGAAAAATAGTTTCTTGATTAAAGTGCACGCTGACACAAGATGAAATTCACCATTGAAACAAGGCAAAATTGTGTTTGGAATAAGATTTTTCTCTTATTCCAAAGAAAATATCAGCTTGTTTCAAGAGTAAATTTGATCTTGTGTCAGCGTGCACTTGAAACAAGGAACAATTTACTAGAAACAAGAAACGATTTTTCTGGGTGTAGAAACCCAAGTGTATGAATGCCCCACACTTGTAGGCTAGTGAACATACACTTGCGCACTTAAACCACGCTTAAAGTACGCTACAAATGAATGATCATTGATGACAGGTTTGCACGGAGACGTCCGCCGGCGACGATGCCCCACGTGCCCTGCAAAAGCGTGCGGACCCCGCAGCGCAGGGTCCCCTCCGAAGTCACCCCCAAAGCCACAGGTAAATTATTGTAGTTTACAAAATGGTTTATTGATTACTTGCTAGTTTTGTGAGATGGTTGGTACAGCTTTATTTGGATTTTCCCTGAAGCAGGCGTCGGGGACGGGTCCCTGGCCAGAGGGGTTTATACCCAAGCCACAGGCCGGTGGAAAATGGGGCTGGAAGCTCGTCCGGCAAAAGATCAGCAAGCCGTACAGCGGGGACGCCGGCTCCTCTGGCAAGAAGAGCCCTCCCAAGGGCAAGGGGAAGTAGAAGTGTCGCTTTTAAAGACGCGTACAAGCGACGCCCGCGAGAAGACCTCTTACATATGTAAATAATAAAATTCAATTACAATTGTAAAAATATGAAATAAAATTTACGCCAGTATAAACCCGAAGGGGGTAGAGGGTAGTCAGGCCAGCCCTCTTTGAAAAATATCCTCGTAAATTTACAACATATTCTAAAATTCCAACTTACAAAATATTTTGTGAATTTTCGACAGCCCATTCTTGCTTGTCGATGAGCCGCAAGTCGATGCGCAGTTACTCGAAAGTTTACAATTTCAAATTGTAAATTTACAACACACATCGTGGAAGACTTTTCTGTCGTTACCAAGAATTTCAGTACACTCTAAATGTAAAGGGACAATTTTGTCCGTGGAAATGGAACCGATTCGTGCACATCCAGAAAGGATGCAATTTTGTTCCTAAGACCAGACAAAGTGTGCGAGCCTTTACACAATTTTGTCAAATTAAAAAAATATATTTTTCGGAGGCACTGACTACAGCCGACCAGGCAGCCGTAGCGCCTCTGGGTAGGCCACCGGCCCCGTAGCGGTGCCCGCCGGGCGCGGCTACCCGGCGGGCGCACAGGCTGGCCGTCCCCCGACCGCGAGCCCCTGACCGTCAGTGGGAGTGGGCACACTCGGAGCGCTCGTGCGTGCGTACTTACAGCGTAATCGTCCAAGTTTGTAAAAATTTAGTGTGTGGGTATGCAGCTTCCAGTTTACTGGCAATCACAACCCACCTAACATGCTCTCTCTTCCTCTCTCTCTCTCCCCTGGGTGGGCGCGGCGGGGCGAGCGCGCGAGTTGCTCGCCACTTGAGACGTCCGCGCAAGCGCGTTGCCCTTCCTCCTCCTCCTCCACTTCCTCCTCCTCATCATCATCAACAATATCGTCATCCTCTATTGTTCGTGCAGCGCAAACTGCGGCTGCTCGCTGCCGCTGCAAGCCACCGGGAGAGCATCCCCTCCTCACACCCCCACCCCTCCCCGCCCAACCCCCCGGGCAAGCAAGAGGGGGGGGGGGGGGGTGGAAGGTAAGGAGAAAAGAAAGGGAGTCCGGGAGAAAGGGGGCGTGGTGGACAAGACCATAATGCGATCCGGGCCGCACCGGATGTGGACCGGAGCGCTAGCGGGCCAGACACCGGAAACAGCCGTGTGTGCAGGCAGCTCTCTCTCTCTCTCTCTCTCTCTCTCTCGCTCGCTCTCTCTCCCTCGCTCGCTCTCTGTCTCTCCTTGGCGTGTGCCGGTCGCGCGCACGTTGCCTCCGAGAGGACTAGTCTTTTGAATCGCATTGCCGTTTTGTCCTTCTTCCGCCCTAATTTCCTTTTATTCTTTTCTCTCTTTTTTTTGTTCCTTTCTCTTTCTTTTTGTACCTCTACCGCTGCCCCCGCCGCCCAGCAAAGGCAGTCACTTCAGCCTGACGTGTGTGTGTTTGAGTGTGTGTGTGTGTGTGTGCACGCAGCAGCGGTAATGTGACGTCACCCCGACAGAGAGAGGGAGAAAGAGAGAAAGAGAGTGAGAGAGAGAGAGAGAGAGAGAGAGATAAAGAGAGAGAGAGAGAGAGAGAGACCGTGTGTGACGTGACCATAGCCACTGAGCCCAGACCCCAGACCTCATCCCCGACCAGACTGACTAAAGGCCTACGCTTCTTTATTCTGTCTATGAAAGTTATTTCCTTACGCGTTCCTGATATTATTTTCTGTAATTTCAGGGGGAGTTATTATTATTTTCACCAAGTTGTTTAGCCCTTCAGAGAGAAAGAGAGAGAGAGCAAGAGCGAGCGAGAGCGAGCAAGATAGAGAGAGAGAGAGAGAGAGAGAGAGAGGGGGAGAGAGGGAGAGAGAGAGAGAGAGCAGACAGGCCTGCCGCGGCTCCTGCTCCTCCATGAGCAATTATTGCAATGTGAATAATAAACTGCCTCTGCCGCTCGCCCGGCACTGCCTGCCAGCCCCGGCTGCCGGCCCGCCCGCAACACGCGGAGCACCTTCTTTTGTTTTTCGACGCGCAACGCCCAGGCAACGCCCGCCCGCGCGCCGAGTGGAGCGAGAGCCGCTTTACTTTTACAAATTAATTTTCTTCAGCAAATATGCTGCTGCTTTGCGGGGCTCGGGCGGGTTGTATACTATAGTGCGCTGAGCTTGAGAGAGGGAGAGGAGATAGATGAAGGCGAAGCGAGAGGGAGAGATGGGGAGAGAGTGAGAGAGATAAGGCGAGCGAGAGAGAGTTGTGGGGTGGGAGGTGGGCAGCCAAAGCCGCCTAGGGTGAGAATGAGGCGAGAGGGGAAACAGATTGACTTACGGCAACACTCTTGTGTGATGATGCTGTTTGCTTCTCTCCGAGGAGCAGACCTATGCGTCCATTGCAAGAAGAGCAAGTACAACACATTTAGAGTGTTCGTCGATCGAGGTGCTGGTCGCGGCTGTTCATCGCCATGTCGTATACGTGCTGCTGCTGCTGCTGCTGCTGCTGCTGCCCGTGTGACGGCGCGACGTCGTCACCCCGTCACGCGTCATTGAGGCCGTTGGCGAAAGGTGTGAACCTCCCGCGGGCGGCCGTCGCACGAGTGTCGGGTGGTGTGTAGTGGTGGCCGTCGTCGGGCGCCTCGGCGGCGTCGATACCCACCACACCCCGCGGCCACCCTCCACCGTCAACGACCCCCATCTACCTCCCCACATTTTCCCATCCCCACCCTAACTGCACCTTACAACTGCACTTTCGAGTACAAAACTATACACAAGTGTGTGAGTTGCAAGCTTACAAATTAAGTATGGAAAGTGTACATGTTGTTGTATACTTTTTCGTGTGACATTTTGACACGCACTGAATGTCAACATTTTGCGCAAGACAATGCAAAATTCTTGCAAAGAATTCTTGTAAAGAATTTTGCAGCATTATAAGAAAGTGGCATTGCAAACTATTTTCTTTGCATTGCAAGTTATTTTCTCCGTAATTGGAGAAGAGATGTTTTGCAAGGTTACGAACTAATTCTTTGCAGCGTTACGAACACATTTTCTTCGTGAGGTGCACGAAAGGATCTAGTCTCCAATGCAAAGCATTTTACAACGCTTCAAAATTCTTTGCGCAATGCAAACAATAGTTCTTCGCAAGCTTTTTACAGTGGAGTAAGTGCGTCAGGCCTATGAGGACACCTGCCACCTCACAGTGACACACGCACACACACATCACGGGGACGCTTTGCATTTGTATTTGGAGCCCACACACAAATGAGTCGGTGCCCTCCAACCCTCCCGTCTCCGCGGGGGCGCTGCGCGGGGCGAGCAGTCGCGGGCGCTGCGCGGCGCGTCTCGGCGGGGCGCTTTGGCCGGCGATAGCGATCGTAACGGTTTTCCCTATTCGCGCCGCTCCCATTACTTACGTGCCATTTAATCTGCTCTGTGCGGGGGCCGACCCCTCACCCCCGGCGGCGCCCGGTGGCAGTTTTAGTCGCGGTCAGGTGGGAGTGTCCATCCACCACCCCTCGGCAAGACACGGCAACTAGCCCTAAAATCAGAAACATTTACAAATAACAAAACAAAATATACGAAAAAACAAATAAATTGAAAAGTTTCTTTCAAGCAAAAAAAAAAAAAAAAAAAATCCCCCAAAAAAAGATTTTTTTCAAGAAAAGAATTTCTCAAGGAAAATACTACTTCCCAGAAAACAACTTTTTCAAGGAAAAAAAATTTCTTTCGAGGAAAAAAATTTCTGTTAAGGGAAATTTTTCTTCAAGGGAAACTCTTGTCTTTTCCAAGGAAAAAAAGGATTTCAAGAAACATCAACTTTCAAGGAAAATTTATTTCGGAGTAATTCTTTTGAAGTACAATTTTTTTTGCCTTTTTCTCGTTAATTATTTCCAAGTTTTGAAGGTTACGGAACATGAAGGGATGCTGCCATGGCGAGTGGGCTGGTCGGGGCGCCGGGCGGGTAGGCAAGCCGAGCACGCGCCTGCGTGGCGGTGCAGTGGGGGCGCACGGGGCGCGCCTCACGCCGTGGAGGGCAGGTCATGGACACTCTCCCGTGGACGTGAGAGGTGCGGGAGCAGAGGATGACTGTGACGCGTGACGACAGAGTGGCCGGGGGGGGGCAGGGCAGAACGGGCAGCGTTAGGGCGGAGCGGTGCGGGCTGCTGCGCGGGGGTGAAGAGGCACTGGCGCGAGGGGGAAGGGGAGGGGAGGGGGGGGGTGAAATGTTGAGCGGAGCGAGCAGCAGCCATATGCTGCTATTTACTCTGTTAACAACGTCCTCCATTGTCGGTTCCCTCGGGACGGCACGGGGCTATACGCCGGCCGCGCCTGTCCCGCTTCGGGCGAGGCGGCTCCGCTCATCTCTCTCTCTCTCTCTCTCTCTCTCTCTCTCTCTCTCTGCGCCTCTGTGCCGCTTTGCCTCTGAAGAAGGCCACCACCATGGACCACGAGCTGCACAAGCCCCCCCCCCTCCCCCCGGTTTACTCCTTCCTAAGTCAGGGAAGCCCTGCAAAGACTCCTATACCACGACAATGAAACCCGCTGCTCCCTGTAGCAGCCACCACCATACGATCTTACAGGGAGGCCACCATGCACCAGACTTTTGCCACCAATAGAAGGACCATATCACGCTCACAGCAACGGCTTTCAGACGCTTTTAATAGAAAAATATAATAAAATCATCATGGCAATGCGGGCCCCCCATCAAATAGTTTCGTGCAAAAATTACAAAAAAGTAGTGTACGTCCCGTTTTGGGGGGAAGTACAATGGCCAAATATATGTCGGGTCACCAAAATTTATTTATTTTCGTGCGGCGTGCGAAGTTACGCCCTATACCCTACATTTTTTTCTACGACGGTGCCCTATGGACGGTGCCGTCAGGCTGACGACTGCACAGACCCCCCTCTCTCTGGTCGTCGGGGCCCTTATCCGCCTCGTCCTGCTCTTCCCGTCGTCGCGGGCTGCTCCGTTGAGGCCGCCCTGGACCGCTCGTTATCCCCCCGGCTGGGATCGGGACTCACTGCGCGTCACTCACAGTGGTGTGTGTGCTCGTCCCCCACCCCTCCCCTTTCCGCCCCCGTTCTGTCCATTTCCCTTTCATTTGAGTTGCCCACCCCCAGCGAGCGGGGTGGTGGTGGTGGCGTGCTTGCTGGTGGTGCGGTGGTCTGGTCGTGCCACCGACGCCGCACCCACCCCGCCCCGCCCCGCCACCGCGCCCGTTCGCTCTCGCTTTCGCAAGATGCACACCAATTAACCCTCTATTTGTCGTGAGGGATGGGAGCCATTGTCTCGGCGGGCCGCCGCCGCGCGCCCTCCGCGCCGCGCTCTTCGGGAGGGCGGGCCGGGGCCGGGCGGCCCCGCGGCGCGGCGGGTGAGCCGGCCACTACGCGCCGCCACCAAGTGCGTGACGCGTACGGTACGCGCGACAATGCCGTTCGGAACGACACGCGCGCAAAACGTTAGAATAATGGCATGGCAAAAGTAGAGTTTAGAAAAAATAATAAGATGAGCAAATTTCGTGTGCTAGACGCTCTAAAAAGATAAAGAACAATGTTACATTGAAAAAATGTAGCAATGAAAAAAATTGTAGCAGTGAAAAAAATGTTGCAATAAAAAAATGTTACAAAGAAAAAATATTAATGACTTTTTTT